TCTGGGTGCTCTGATCCAAGAAGTCCCCTGCGGAGATCGGGGCGGGGAGGGGGGAAACAGGGGGGTTGTCACTGACCCAGAAGAATCAGGGATCGGGCCCCTACAAGCCCCCCCCCGGTAGATCCCCGGGGGGACAGCCATCGCTGCATCCTCTTCCTCTCCTGTGCGCTCGGGCTTGGCTCCCCCAGACCTGCCCTGTCCCGTGTGGTACCTTGGCTTTACGACCACCCGTCCTCAGGTGCTCCTCACGCCACCTCCTAGAGCCCTCCTCCAGTTCCTGTCTCAGCCGAAGCGATTCTTCTTCCAGGCTGCGGACCTGGTCCTGCAGCTTCTGCTTTTCTTCAGCCTCCTCCTTCTCCCGGGTCTTCCTCTCCTCCTCGGCTCTCTCCTGCTGCTCTCGCACCCCTGGGGACAGAGAAATGGATGGATCTTCTGGGAAGCGCTACTGAGGAGACAGAGCTGGGAGTCCTGGGTGGTAGCACACTTTCCATGGGCCAACAATATGTCCTTGTAGCCAAGAGGCCAGTGGGATCCTGGGCTGCGTCACCGTCTCCTCCGTCACAGCCATCGCTGCATCCTCTTCCTCTCCTGTGCGCTCGGGCTTGGCTCCCCCAGACCTGCCCTGTCCCGTGTGGTACCTTGGCTTTACGACCACCCGTCCTCAGGTGCTCCTCACGCCACCTCCTAGAGCCCTCCTCCAGTTCCTGTCTCAGCCGAAGCGATTCTTCTTCCAGGCTGCGGACCTGGTCCTGCAGCTTCTGCTTTTCTTCAGCCTCCTCCTTCTCCCGGGTCTTCCTCTCCTCCTCGGCTCTCTCCTGCTGCTCTCGCACCCCTGGGGACAGAGAAATGGATGGATCTTCTGGGAAGCGCTACTGAGGAGACAGAGCTGGGAGTCCTGGGTGGTAGCACACTTTCCATGGGCCAACAATATGTCCTTGTAGCCAAGAGGCCAGTGGGATCCTGGGCTGCGGAGGGAAGAGTGTGGCCAGGAGGTGGAGGGAGGTCATTCTCCCCCTCTGCTCTGCACTGGGGAGGCCACAACTGGAATCCTGCCTCCAGTTCTGGGCTCCCCAGTTCCAGAGAGACAGGGAACTGCTGGAGAGAGTCCAGCGAAGGGCAACAGAGATGCTGGAGGGATTGGAGCATCTCCCTGCTGAGGAAAGGCTGAGAGAGCTGGGGCTGAAGAAGAGAAGACTGAGGGGAGACTCTTCCAAGTATCTAAAGGGTGGGTTGAAGGAGGATGGAGCTGGACTCTTTCCAGTGGTTCCCAGTGACAGGACGAGGGGCAACGGGCACAAGCTGGAACATGGGAAGTTCCACTCAAATCTGAGGAAGAACTTTTTTGGGGTGAGGGTGGCAGAGCCCTGGCAGAGGCTGCCCAGGGAGGGTGTGGAGTCCCCTTCTCTGGAGATCTTCAAGCCCCGCCTGGATGCTCCTGAGTGATGTGCTCTGGGCAACCCTGCTTTGGCAGGGGGATTGGACCAGATGATCTCTAGAAGGTCCCTTCCAACTCTGACAATCCCGTGATTCCATGATACAGAGGTGCTCCAAGGGCAGGAGCTGAGCCCACGGGCACCCAAGGAGCACTGGTGACCCCACCACCACCAAGCTTGGGTCTTGACAGGCAGTGACTTACTTTTCAGCTCCTCCTCCTTCTCTGCCAGGGCACGATCTGTCTTGAGGATTATTTCGTCCAGATCCTCTCTGCTTTGGAGGAACTCCTGCAGGACAGCTTCAGCCTGTAGAACCACAGGTAGAAGAGGAGTCAAGGAGAGAAAGAGCAGCTCAGGGGAAAATGGTTTTTTGGGGGAAAGGGATGGGACATGGAGCCTCTCCCCCTGAAGGGGAGCTGCTATTGTTCCTACCATCACCCCCTTGCCAGGCACTTCTTGGTATTTCTCCACCAGTGCCTGCAGGTCTCCTTTGAACAGCTTGTAACCTCCTGGCACGTTGTAGACACCATCCTTGAGTTTTCTGTCCACATCTCGGGAGAGGTCCCCGAGAGCAGCCTTGCACTTGTAGCTGGACTCCTGCTCGTTGTCCCTGAGGAACTTCTCCTTGATGTCCTCCACCTGGCGCTGTTGGGAAAGATGCAGAGGGAAGGCTCAGCCCATTCTCATGCTGGGAAAAAACCCACCCCTATTGACGTGGCAACCGGGATCTCCAGCCTGTGGGGTAACGGGGCCGGGAGGGGAGAGATGGGGAGGCCATTCTGCACCCAAGGGACACCTCCAGAGCAAGGTGCCCAGGAGCGGAGAGCACGCCAGGGACCTCCCAAAAGACGGGGACAAGACTTAGTCAGCAGGACAGGGGAAACGTAGGAGGCTACGGGCTTCCAGCCAGGGCAGAGCCTTGTCCCCTTTGCTTTTGAACCCAGGGAGAAGAGGGAGGGCAGTGGGGACAACTGCGAGTCAGCGGAGGCTGAGAGCGGGCGTTGGGACCGAGTCTCCTCTGGAGCAGGAGGCAGGATGAGCCCTGACCCCCCAGGACCACGCTATTCCCCCCAAAGCTCAGGGGATGATGGTGTCCCAGGTTCGGGGGGGACATTCCTGGCTGGGCTGGGGGTCACCTACTGTAAGATCTGCCTGGAAAGAGCAGATGTCTTCCTCGAACGCCCGTTTCTGGAACAGCCTTGTCCCCTTTGCTTTTGAACCCAGGGAGAAGAGGGAGGGCAGTGGGGACAACTGCGAGTCAGCGGAGGCTGAGAGCGGGCGTTGGGACCGAGTCTCCTCTGGAGCAGGAGGCAGGATGAGCCCTGACCCCCCAGGACCACGCTATTCCCCCCAAAGCTCAGGGGATGATGGTGTCCCAGGTTCGGGGGGGACATTCCTGGCTGGGCTGGGGGTCACCTACTGTAAGATCTGCCTGGAAAGAGCAGATGTCTTCCTCGAACGCCCGTTTCTGGAACAGCTCCTGTGTCTCCTGCTGGCACTGGCTGTGCAGATCCAGGAGCTCCTCAACTGTCTCCGTCGGCAGCTTCACCCGCTGCTCCATCAGGTCCTGGTAGAACTTCACAGCCTCTTTCACCGCCGCCGCGTTCACCTCAACTTTGTGCCCATTTTCTCCTGTCCCCTCCCTGGGCACCACTGGAAAAAGACCAACACCTGCATCATTTGATCCTTCCCCAGATGCAGTCCCAAGAGCTGCTGCCCATCCAGCCCTCCGGACAGCCCTACTCACAGCTCCCCTTGATGATGCGGCCACCAGGGGTGGTCTTAGGTGGAGAGTTTTCCCAGATGTGGCTGCAGAATTTCTCCACCTGCTGCTGGAATTTAGGATCGATCTCATCATCCCGAAGCTCCTCCAAGTGCTCCAGGTCCCTCTTGGGGGCCGGCTGGTCAAAAACAAAGCACTTGCGATCCCAAAAGTACTGGCGGATGCATTCCCGGGGCTGGTTGTAGCGTCGGATCTTGGAGCTGGTTCCTGCGGGGCAAGAGGACACGGAGCAAGTTCCTCAGGCTCGGGCTCTCGTTGACTGACACCGAAATGCCTGGGGCTGGAGGTCTCCAGCAGCACAGCACCATCCCCTCACCAGCCTTCACCGCCAGCGCCTTTTCCAAGTATTGGTCCTCGGAGATTCCCTCCCCATCCACCTCCAGCCGCAGGGTGAAATCCCGCACCGTCCAGACAAACGCCGGGAAGAAAGGGGCAACTTCTGCTGGATCCTCCTCCTGCTCCTCTTCACTCTGCCCGGGTGCCGCTTTCAACCTGACCTGCTCGGTCAGCTTCATCACGTAGCTGGGGAGCTGGCTAAGGAAACACCTCGGCTCTGAAGGCAGGGGCACGGCCATCCTGCAACCACCTCATGGGGCGAGAGAGGAGACTGTGGGGACAGAGAACCACCAGAAGGAAGAGGGAGAAAAACCCTCAGCCCAGAGGTCCCCGGCGTGGGGACTCCTAAGGACACAAAGCATGTCCATGGACACCACCAGAAGGCTGTTTGAGGAACTAGGGTTTGTCAAGCCCTTGCCCAGCCCGCCAGGAGAGGAACCCATCCCTGGTTCCTGCTGTCCCACCAAGGATACTGCAGCTGCTCCATGGCTTGCTGGTCAATGGTGCCTCTGCTGTTGTAGATCAGGGTGCTGGAGAGCAGTAGGGTGAGCACAAAGATCCAGTTGTCGTTCTCAGTGTCACCCTGGAGGAACAGCCCTTGGCTCTTGGTCAACAAGACCCAGTCAACAAAAGCCCCACACGCCCGGACCCTGCATGCCCCTTTCCAACAGGCCATGGTTAAGACCAGGTTTTGGAGAGACCCACCCCCACGCCATCACCACCCCTTTCTCTAGGTGGGCTTATCCTCACCTCACAGAATCACAGAATGTGATGGGGTTGGAAGGGACCTCTGGAGATCATCTAGTCCAACCCCCCTGCCAGAGCAGGTCTACCCAGAGCAGGTTGCACAGGAACGTGTCCAGGCGGGGTTTGGAATGTCTCCAGAGAAGGAGACTCCACCATCTCTCTGGGCAGCCTCTTCCAGGGCTCTGCCACCCTCAAAGTGAAGAAGTTCCTCCCCTTGTTTAGATGGAACTTCTGATGAACAACTTTGTGCCTGTTCCTTCTGGTCCTGTCACTGGGCACCACTGGAAGAAGAGTGTCCCCATCCTCCTGACACCCACCCTTGAAGTATTTAGAGGCGTTGATGAGATCCCCCCCAACTATCTACCCCAACCTCCTTCCCCATGGCCTCTGGCTCCTCCCAGCCCACAGGCTGAAGGTCACCCCAGGTGCCGGGAACCCCTGGATTCTGCTCATTTGGGTGACAAAATGCTGGGACAAAATGCTCCTTCCTCACCTTCTCCACATCGCCCAGCCCTTCTGTGTCCAGCAGCACCAGAGCGTGTCCAGGCTTGCGGGGGTGAGGTAGACACCACATCCAGACCCCTTTGGTGTGGGACTGCACGCTGGAGCCCAGGGAGAAACCTGTGGGGAGGATTGCGAGGTCCTCACCACTGTTAGAGGAGGAGAACCCAGGTCCCCTGGACCTCCGGGCTGGGATCTCCCTCACCTTTCCTCCGACCAGCCAGCCTGTTCATGAGGTAGGACTTGCCGGTGCGGTACAGCCCTGTGATGGCCACCACCACCACCGGCTGGGTCACCTCTGACAGCACCTGCAGGGCCTCCTGCTGAACCACCAGCCCCTTCCTCGGGTGGTTCTCCACGAGGCAGAGGGGCTCCGGCATGAGGATTTCCGATGCCATTGCCGACAGCGAAGGCAGCCCTGGGGAGGAGAGGGCCAGAGGGGCTGGTTAACGAGCTGGTTAACGACATCCCGAAGTCCAAAGTGGGGGGGGACACACCAGTCATTATCATCCTACTGCATTTGTCCAAGCTACAACCCTTGGCATCCAATGCTCCGCGCTACGACCCGAGCGCCGCTTTGTCCCGAAGTCCAAAGTGGGGGGGGACACACCAGTCATTATCATCCTACTGCATTTGTCCAAGCTACAACCCTTGGCATCCAATGCTCCGCGCTACGACCCGAGCGCCGCTTTGGAGGCTGCTGAGCGGGGAATTGGGGGATAAAAAAGAAAACTGGGGGACAAAAACAGGGGGGGGACACACAGCGATGGGCTTGGGCAGGCTCTGGGGCAAGAGGAGAAGGCTGGAGATCCACCAGCACCAAGGAAAGGAGAGGTGAGGGACGGAAATTCAACCTTAGGTGATCTGCTGATGACTTCTTTCACTCATTTCTTACGCCCAACCCCATCAAACCCCCTCTGACCCCCCCACCCTCCCGCAGACCAGGGACACGTGTGCTGTGCACAAGCGTGTGCAAGGCTTCCATCTCTCCTTTCCTCCACCCGTGTGTTCGTGAACGACACCCTCCCCCCACGCTTCCAGAGCTTTGGATTTTTGACCCAAAAAAAAAGGTGTAAAAAAGCAGAGGGATATTTTATATTTTCATTCTCACCGAGCAGCGCCCACCCCCCCGAGGTCTTTTTCTGCTCCTCACACCCCCCCAGCAGCGAGGAGGCTGGGGGTGGACCCAACCAGGAGAGCTGACCCCAAGTGACCAAAGGTCTATTCCAGACCATATGACGTCACGCTCAGCAATGTAAAGCTTGGGGAAGAAAAAGGAAAGGGTGGGGTTCAGAGCAACGGCATTTTATCTTTCCAAGAATCCCTTATTTGTTGTGATTTCATGGCAACCCACCAGTTTCCTCACATTTAATTTTCCAGTTCTGTCCGGCGGCTGCGTGGGGCTTTAGTTGAGGTTGGGGTTAAACCACCACCAGCCCCCCGACCATCTCCCAAACCCTCCCAGGTCCCAGTAAAAACCCCACAGATGTGGGGGATCATCCCACGCACAGACCCACAACCTGCCCCACAGCAGCAACCTCCCGGGAACCCTGGGACTCGCTCCAGCGACGGGGAGCTCCACGGAGCTCCACTTTTGGGCTTGGAGTCCTCTCTGGGGACCTCACCCCAACCCTATCCTCTTCCAGGAACATCGAGGGGATGGCTCTGGGGGACAAGAGCCTGTTCCCCCCCATGTCACGGGCACTCTGGGAGGAGGAGGAGGGAGGAGAGGAAAGTTTTGGGCACAGGGTCCCAGCTTTGGCGAGTCCTCACTTGCCTGCAAAGCCATGGGGGGGGTTGAACACCCACCCCCACACACCCCTTCCCCTTGCTCCATCCTGGAGCCCCAGCAGACCTTTAGGACCTCTTCCCCCTCCCACCCACGGGGGTCCCTGTCACCCACGGTGGGGGGGGGTCAGGAGGAGTCATTCCCAACCCGTGTCCAGGGCTGCTGGCGTGGGGTGGGGAGGAGGCATCAGGGGGAAGGACTCACCGTTGTCTTCTCACCTGCCCTGGGCTCTAAGATCTTTGCTCTAAGAGAGGTTCCTCTCCTGCCTTTTATCTTCACCCTCAGCCAGATCCGAGGAAACCTCCTATTCCGGGAAATGAGTCAGAAACGAAAGTGAAAGCACAAAGACTCCATCAGGCAACATAAAGGTGGTTTAATAAGTGACAGAACAAGATCCTGAAACTCCTTCTATGGTCTGACCGGTGGATGAGGGAAAGGGTGGTGTTTACCTGGACTTATCTGCTCAGGGGCTTTCTATCACATTTGAAAAGTCGTGGCGGTCTGGTGAAGTTCCTGACGGCTGGAAAAAGGGAAAGAGAACCCTCATTTTCAAAAAGGGGAAAAAAAGGAAGACCCTGGGAACTCCAGGCTGGTCAATCTCAGCTCTGTGCCCAGCAAGATCATGCAGCAGATCCTCCTAGAACATCTGCTGAGGCACAGGGAGAATACAGAGGTGATTAGTGACAGCCAGGGGTGGCTTCTACAAGGGTAAGTCATGCCTGACCATTCTGCTGGCCTCCTACGAGGGGGTTTCAGCATTGGTAGGAGAGGGGAGAGCAAGAGACCTCATCTACCTGGACCTTTGCAAAGCGTTTGATGTCACTGTGACATCCTGGCCGGCTCTTTCTTGCTGAGGGTGACGGTATCAAGCGTGGACGGGGGGTGAGATACGGGAACAGGTTTCCCAGAGGAGCCGTGGATGCCCCGTGGGAGTTGTTTGTGACCCACACTTGGATGTGCCCAGAGTCAGGCTGGACGGGGCTTTGAGCAACCTGATCTCCTGCCAGATGGTCCCTGCTCATGGCAGGGCTGCTGGACTGGATGATCTTTGAAGGTTCTGGCCGTGTCCCCCCTTCCCAACCCCTATCCCACCGCCCGCCTGCTGGCTGTGGGGGCAGACTGGCAAAGAAGAGAAGGTCTTGAAGTTGTGCAAGCACCGTTGGGCAGCAGAAGAAACATTTGCGTGTTATCAACACCTTTGGAGCACCAGGGGCTCGCAGTGAAGGAAGTTCACCTTGTCCCGGCCACTCGTTCTGTGCGGCCGTTCCCCCTTCCCTCTTGGACCCACCAAGTGGGTCCCTCACC